ATTTTAGACTGTATAGTTCTCATACAGCAAGACTGTTAGCACATCAACACTATTCCCGGTATTGGTATATCAGTACTTTCAATATTGGAATTCTATAGGAACACCACTTTAATTCATTCAGAATTCTCAATAGTTTTAGACTTTTGATATAACATTTGGGATATTTTGGGGAAAAAACTCACAATTCTGAAATATCTTTATAGCTATTGTACTTTGTATTGAAGGGAAATCAATAATTTGTTAAATTTTGCCAAGCTTGTTGGTTTCTCTCTTGTCTGTTACTTAGTTTAAGACCATAGTAGCGTAACACTGTTTGCCATCAGTAATTTATCACTATGATTGTACGTTGCCAAATTACATCTAGATACGCTAAATCTGCTTGCCACTGTAATTATTTGTTCGACGTCAATGACTTTGGTCCGACTTCTGGAAAATACTCTTCGAATCGATTTGCATAACGTGTACGTTAATTGTTCTCCTAACCATTATTACAAATCTGACAAATGTTCGTTTAAATTTTGTTTTAGCAGCACAATTCAAAAGTTAAGCCCTCCTAACAAGCAAGATGTGCCGGATTGCAATAAATGCTCGCTAAAAGTATCTAAACTATGGATTAACTGTAGTGATTGCTTCTCCTTAGTTCGATACTGCTCTACTGAAGACATTGCAATATTTGGTCAAACGGTTTCGGTTTTTGGTTTCTGACAAATCGGTTTGATTCATCAACGATTGCAGTACTTGTTGTAACTATCAAACTAAATCCTTGCCTGTTTCTCTCCTATGTTTGGTTCAGTCCGACTGTCGAATATACTCCCATTATCTTTATCATTCTGCGATACCATTCTACTCTGCATACGTGCGAACTTGACGATCACACTGGACAACCATATCTGATCTTGTGAAAACTTTGGTTGTGAAAATTTTATCTATCAACATTCTTCTGCGTCCTCTACCTCTAATGAAATGTGTGGGAACTTTGGGTGGGTGTAAAGGCTGGTAACATGTATAAAGGAAGTTCTATAAAAGATCTGGAATAAAGCAGATCGATAGGTAAGACAGACAGCAAGACTGACATAATGCTCGTTAGTTAATCAATGTTTATGATTGGTTTTCTGAAAGGTAAAGTGATCTAATCCTTTATATTAAAAAATACTTATTTCATTTTCCTTTCGAATGAATCACTGAATACCAGAAACGAGTTCAAAGTATGGAAACTATTATTAAATTCACTCATTTAAAACATAAATCTCAGGAAATTTGCTTGCAATGTAAAGTAAATAAATGTTATAGCTCTGGGGTTCAACTCGGTTTAAAGAAAAGTTTTTACCTAATCTACCACTCCAGTACAGAATCGGATTATGTTCCTTTTGCCTCTGCAGTACTGGCTCTTCATGCGTTCTGAAGGCGCCACCATTTTCTTCTTGCTGGAGAAGGGATTCCACGAAGAATACCGTCCCTTTTTTTTATCTTCTGTTTACGGGTGAACTGCCAGAAATTAGGACTGTTTCTCCAACAATCTTATTAATATGATTTTATTATCTGGTGACACAGTTTCTTGAGAAAACGACCCACTTAGCTAGAGGGAACTGTCCGACACAATAATTTCGCGAGATGTATTTTAGCTACAGTGACTTTTGAAATTGTTTGAGCCTAAAGAGTGAGAGTTGTCAACGAAGAAGAATAGCAGTTGAATGGGAATTTGTAAGGAACTAAAAGTTTGAACGTACGTGGGCTACAGGGAGGTAGCCAAGGTCTACCACCTTCGAATACGTTTCCTTACTTTTCTACGATGACTGTAGAGTGTGAGCCAGCCATAGTTACTGGTAATTAAGATAAGGAATCTCTATATGTTATATTCGAAATTGCTTGTCCCCCTCCCCCAACATGTATAATAACATCCGTCCTCTCCTCATGAGAAACAGTCCTAAGAAAATGCATTACCATCGGAAAAATTGAAATTAAGTTATCATAAAGAAGATATTTATCCCCAATATTAATACCGGATATATTTCATCGTCTGGTATTAAAAACGTGATATTTTAATGAGTGATGAAGTCACCAGTTAAAATATATCCTGTTTGGTACCACGTAGGGAAAGAAAATTATATTATTTTTATTCCAGACTTCTTCCAGATTCGAAGTTTAGAAGATTCAACTCTGGCCTATCATTGTGGTTGGTTGGCTTCCGTTAGTCTCGAGAGACGATGGAAATGCGCCCATGAAAGGTGTCCAAGTTTGTAGCTGTGCAGCGTCTTCTGTGACTACAACGTCTGGCCTATCACGCTCACTCTAACCGCCTTTTCGTAATTCACATCACTTTCATAGGCAGATCATATAAATATTAGTGACTTTAAAAAGCGGTAGGATTGGGTTGACTCAATTTGTGGCAGTAAGTTACATTTTTGTCATTTTCTTGACAATTTGATCATATCCGAAAACATTGCAAGCCCGATTCAGAAATGCATAACAGTGGGTTTATCGTTGTTGTCAACGAAGTGGAGATAACTTCAGAAAAACGCAAACGGCGTAATAAGATTTCGGTATCAGAGATTACTTTCCATGTCTGAAATGTAATTCAGCTATTACTTATTTATTTTAGTTTAGAAAGTACTCGTTTTTATTTCTTCTGTACATATTTTTTTTTGTAGGCATACACAATCAACCATCGCATGACATGATGGGAACTTACATTGTCACATGTCAAAATAATGTAAGGATGTATTTTTCACAGTTGAATACACATGAAAGAAAAAAATTAGGAAAAAAATTTCGCCTCCAATACCGTTTCACGCTTTTATATACCAAAATAAAACTTCATATTTTACCATAATTACTGATATCATCTGCACAATCGCTTTGTTTTTTTTGGGGGGGGGGTAGGAGAAATCTACGTTTTGGCGTTATGATGGTTAAAATATCTTAATTGTAATAACAAAAGAATTAATTTAAATACAAAAATGTTTCATTAATCTTCTTATATTCAAAGATTCTACAGAGACACGCGAGTGTCTGAATGAACGAGAGATCGACTCAAGTGTAGTTAGCCAGGGGTTTTCAAACTTGTGGTCCACGGACCCTTTGGGGTGCGTCGCATATATAAGGAGTCCACAAGTAGGTCCCAAAAAAGAATAAAAAAGTACATTTGCAAAGTTTTCATTATCATCAACAATTATAAAAACAATTGATGTCTTACGTGGATTACATAAAATAATAATGTTGATCAGGCCAAATTTATTGGATAGGCTCATTGGGGTCCGCCATCTGATCACAAGATACTACGGGGTTCACAGTTTCAAAAAGTTTGATAATCGCTGTAGTAAGCGATGCATATCAGTCAAGAAAACGACATAGTCTCAGACTAATAGAGCAATATTAACTGTTATAGAACCAGACTGTTTGGCCTCGAAATCGCAGCACAAATTTGGCGCAGGAAATTGCTGCTCATACTTCATGAATTCTAGAATTTAAATCCATAACAAGAAAATGGGGAAGCGGAAACCTCGTCGATTTAGAATAACTATGCGTTTGAAGAAGGATAAACACACAGATAAGAAGGAGAAAGTTAGTATTTGTTAACGATTTGCAGGCGATTAACAGGCATTATGCCGCCAAGAAGTCTCCGTGAAGTTGTTTCCGCAGTTTCGCTCATTTTCGTGGTGACTTAAAGATTTAGACTGAATTTATGTTATCGTAAATAAAATCAATGGTTAAATGGTAGCGTTAAAGAAAAGCAACATTAGTATATATTAGGGCACTAAAGTAAACCTGTATAATATGCGCGAATATAATGTTACATCCGGGTACATGGGTAAATGCACTGAATTTTCGTCATGTTTCGTAATCTAAGGTGCTCGTGTATGACAGCATGTATGAGGGGTAGACTTTAGTAAAAACGGTTTCCTTTAGCAACTAAAATTTGAGCGTTATCGTATTTTTTATTGATTAAAGTCCACTAATATCTTTAGAGACCTTACTCGACTTGGTCATGTCCAGCTTTATAAATTATATATAAATGCTGCAGGTACTGTAAATAAAAACATAAAGAGGATATATACCTTGATCCAATTTTTAATCAGCACTGATGTCTTGTGCTGTACTGCACACTGTGAAACAAATCAGTACTAATGTTCAGCTCATAATCAGATATTTGACATTTCATTGATCAGCACCAATTGTAGAATAGGACCACTTTTTGCACCATTGGTATGTCTTGACTCACTGAGGTATATTTTGAACTGGCTTATTGTTATGTACTAGTTGACTCAGCAACTTAAAATACTGCATAAAATCAGGAATAAGTAATAGTCAATCTTGCAGTAACTGTTGCTTGTGATGCTTTCCCTTTGTTATGAATTCTGCTTCCTTTTCCATTACTAATGGATTCAAGCTCATTTTCATACATTAGCAGTCCCATAGTCATGACAATAACCTAAGTCTTGAAAGTGTTCATTTTCCCAGTCAGAATGCAATATTCTATTGAGCTCACTGCACCAATATGACAAGTAGACATAATCGTAACCATGGTATAGGCAATGTTGGAAAACGCCTGTTTTCCTTTACATTGGGAAAGTAAGTTGAAGTTAGTGTCTGCCCTAAAAGTCAGATATCTGAGCTAGACATAGGTGCTTAATTTAATATGCTGTGCATGTATAGCTTGAGAAATCAGTGTTGAGGTTTAGCTCACATATTCATAAATCCAAGGATGCTTCTCTTATTGGCATGAGTCATCCATCAACATTTCCTTGTTATTATTTTGAAGTCCATATTTTGAAACTAATTTCAGATGAATATGGAATATGAGTTTTTATCATCAGAATCACCTCCATACATGTCATTAAAGTTATCTTATACCAGATTAGCTAACCTTGTTACCATTCTGAAAGGTCACATTTCATAAGTGATTAGCAAGAAGAATTACACATTAATTATGCCATCATCTTTAAATAGAATTTTTAATAGGATAAAGTAAAATAGTAATTCAGCATGATATAAACTTTGAAGACCGCTCTGGTGGCCTAGTGGTTAGAACGTCCACCTCGGATATGGGAGGTTGTGGGTTCGATTCCCAGTCAAGTCTTCCAAAGACTTACAAAAATGATGCTCAGCTTTAAGAGGTTAGTGTTAGGACTGATCAGCCTTGTTTCAGGATAATGTAATTGGGTGGGACATCATGCTTCATATCTGCAGCAGGATTCCCCAGTGCTAGACATCACTATAAATTGCCACACTGTAGTGATATAACTGAAAATTGTTAAAGCTACATTAAAAATCAAAATCGCATCACAAAATCACAAACTTTGGTAAATGGTTTGCATATCATCAGTACTATGTAAGTCTGATCAGTGAAATGGTCAGCTGTTATGTTGGCTTGACTGATGTTATGCCTACTAGGGCCATTTGTTAAATAGGACATGAAAGTGTCTTCCTTGTGTTTTTATTTATATTGTTAGATGTATGTTTATATTTCAAAGAAGGCCTTAGTGGTTAAATCCTGGCCATCACTGTCATGAATAGACTATAGTGCAGTACTGTTTCAATATCTTTTGGATAGGAACTTGTCAGATTTTGCAGATGATGAATGATGAATCTCAGGAAAAGTGAGTTATCAATAGTAAATTTTTTTCTAAAGCAAGTTTCAATCTAAATCCTCATGTACATATGACTGTATTTAAAAAAAAACAAAATAGTGGCACCAAATATTGATATTTATTTGATTAACACAATCTTGACAAGTGCTTTAATTTGGTGGTTACCCTGAAAAGTGTTTGAATTTGAGATCTGCTACTAAAAATACTAGAAAATACTTAAATGCCCAGAGATCCTCAAAAAGTGCTTGAATTTTGAAAAAGAGAAGCAAAAGCAGCAAGTTACTGATGTCAATAAAACATGAAGATACATTTAAAAAAAATAACAGTAAAATTCATCTTTATGAAATGGTACTTGCATACTGAGTGACCTATTAGCAAGAGTCCAGGTTTGGTTACTAATGCATTCTGGTTTGGAATTATAAAAACCGTATAAAGTTTAATAACTGGATGCTGTGTTTCCTGGGCCATTGAACTGTAGAAGATAACTTGATATTCTACAATGAAAAGGGCAGTTTCAATTGAAGCTGTAAGTTACCTAAGCAATAAACAAAAGGCTTTGTGTTGTGTTTGTGAATAGGAAATTGATATCATATAGAATCAGCACAAAAAATGATGTGAAATTCTATGCCAATATTCATGGTAAAACTGACAAGCAGAAAAATAATGAAATATCAAGAATAGGACTGATCTGGAGTGGATACTTGCAACCTTGCCATCAGCTGTGCCCTACCTGCATATCAGCATCTTCACCATCTTTTGGTTTAAGAAATGTTTCAGATTTCTTGTTTAGAATGAAATGCTTAAATCGAAACTGTGTTCTCGTCATACCAAACATAAATTCTTCTAAAGAATATACACTTTTCATTGTGGTGCTTGAAAATGAAATTTTTTTTCTATGAAGTCTTTGAAAAGTTCTTGAATTTATTGATTAAATGTCTGTCTGAAATATTCCTTAGCATTTTTAAACATTGTAATATTTGATGTAGAGTTAAAATCATTCACCTTTTTAAAACTTCATTTCTTAAAACAGGTGACTATTTTCAACTAAAGTCAGAATTTTCTTCTACACAATCTAAAAAAACCTCTGTAATGAGTATCCATGTAGCATTGCACTAGGCATGAGTGAGATTGGTAGCTGTGTTTTGTGATGGATGTGAATCTACCTTTCTTTTCTAACTTTTTTGATCATTGAAATGTTTTTCTGACAGTTAATTAGGGAGCACCATTATTTTCTTTCAAACTGTATGGTTTATAATTTAAAATTACTGGTAGTTGTAAAGAATAAAGTGCTAATCAGTACGTGGATCAGAAGCATATTTCATAATCTCCAAGTACACGTGTTGCTCCCTGGGAAATCAGAGAGGTAGGTGCTCCCATATTAATTTCATTTAATTAAAATTGAATCTCAGCAATTATGAGGCTTAAGATTAACCTATTATAATCATTAGAAGACTGGATTATATGAATTCTTTTGCATCAATTTCTTGAGTCATGCTGTACACATGTAACATTTGCAACAAATCTGAAAAGTGTAAACTTATTTTATGATTCTCCAAGGTTAGATTTTCATTGTACAAAACAGGCCACTTACTGTGTCAGGTGGTGAAATTGGCTCCAGCATTTTCAACTCTCTACTTGTAGTCAGACTTTTAAGGAGGAAAACAGAAAGTAAATCACAAATGTTTTAATTTTTTTCATTTTCTTTCCTTCATGAAATATTAAATGTTGATATTGGTATTGTGACCATATTTGTAACAATTTATTTCTTTTACAGATAACTGTATTGAAGACTGACACCAGCAGGTCAAAGGGTGGCAAAGTCCAAAAGGTTACCAAAGACAGATCCCATTACAGAACCTATTCAAAAGAGAACTTAGAAAAGGCATATTATGCCTGTGTAAATGATAAAATGCCAGTTGTACATGCAGCAAGCATGTACTCAGTTCCCGAGACAACTCTTCGTGATCGTGTTAAAGGGCGTATTGAGTTAGATACAATGAAATCTGGTCCACCTCCATTATTTTCAAGTACAGAAGAAAAGTTATTTGTAGAATACTTGAAATTTCTTTTGGGAATTGGATACATCTTGAATCGCACAGATGTTTCCTCACTTGCAACTGAATATGCCATATATCTTGGAAAGCGAGAAACAGACCAGCCACTCAGCTATCGCTGGTTTTATGATTTTTGTAGTAGATGGAAAGATCTTAAATTCAAGCTGATAAGAGGCAGGGACCGTCAGCGAAAGGTTGCAATTTCAAGAGAGTGTTTGAACTTGTACTTTCAGGAATATGAAAAAATTCTCAACATGTATGACATTAAAGATAAACCTCAATATATCTACAGTGTTGATGAGAAACCGGTCATCCATAATGTAAAACCCTTAGGTGAGGAGTCGGATGATGAGTCTGTATGTTCTGAACATGCCCTGACTGTCACAATCACTTGCTGTGCCAATGCTCAAGGAAGTCATATCCCACCATTCTTTATTTTTCCTGGTGACCGTGTTAGAGAAGAAGTATTGATGGATGCAACTGTTGGCACTGGAGCAACTGTGAGTGCAACGGGATGTTCTAATTCTGCAATATTCCAGCAATACTTACAGGACCATTTACTGCGAAATGTGCAGAGAAGCAACTCAGATCAGTACATTCTCCTTCTCTATGATGGCTATGCTTCCCACATTTCATTAGGTCTTGTGGAATGGGCCAAGGAGAACAAGATCATTTTGTTTGTAAGACCACCGTACACTAGTCGTGTTTTGGGACCAGAAGAGGTGGGCTGCCTAGGGCCATATGAGAGAACCTATAACTCGGATTTTAATCGATACAGAAAGAATCACTTCGGAAATCAAAAGCCTAAGATATCGTTGCAGAAGATTTGTGAAATAGCATGCATGACTTACACAAAAGTTTTATGTCCTGAAATGGTAAAGCAGTCCTTTTTTGATGCAGGTATGTATCCAGCTGATAAGACCAGCATAGAACTTAACAAAGACAACTTTTTCTTACCAATCAGTGAGTGTCCAAGGACAAACCTAAAACCTCAGCGCCTCAAATCGAATCGGCATAAAATTGTAAAACTAAAATCTTCAAAGAAAATACATGGAGAATCCTCAAAGGCTGATGGGATTGTACCTCAGAAAGTAGATCCAAGTCTCATCATTGAAGAAAATGCCTGTCAGATTGCGCTGCCTGTCAGCAGAGGGTCCAAACCAGAAAGAGCCAAGAGGAAAATGAAGGCCATGGACCATGTGTATGAATCTGAAACATTTTCAGATGAAGATGAATATATAAAGGAGTCCGATTCTGATTCCAGTGATGATGAGATGGATGAGGAAGAGGATGAACATGATGATAGTGAGAAGTGCTGTGTTTGTAACCGTTATGAACCCAAACCTCTGGCCAGGGCTTCTAATGGTGCAAAGTTTGCTAGCTGGGGTCAGTGTATGTTCCATGGCTGTATCCACTGGGTCCACCTCTCATTTTGCTGTGAAGTGGAAGTACTTGATGATCACGACACATTCTACTGCCCATGTCATGGACTTCCTGTTCTAGCCTGATATGTATAAAAAAAAAAAGCATCAGTACACCTCGGCATTCATGAACTGTAACACATTTGCATGTTTTTGGAAGAAAGAAAGATCCATTAATTTGTTAATTTGTAAGTGTTTATAATGTTTAGGACACTTTCCATCAAACCAATAAAAGACGGATCATCCAGAATCTGAATATCACTTCATCTTGTCTCCCAGATAATTCTTGTACTGAACAGATTGAGACTTTTTTGATGTACATAAACATTGTTTCTTGAAGTAATCCTTTTGTATGAGTGATACAAATCCAAAGGACATTTATTGCAAAGTACAAAAGATACTTTTTGAATGCCCTCCAGTTTCAGTGAAATTTTGTAGAGATTCTGTATTTCATAAATTGATTGTTTACCAATATTGCTAGCTTGATTTGTCATAGCCAAGAAAAGTTATGTGACAATTGTTTTTAATTCAGTAGTACAAGTTTATTCTCAGTACTCTTCCTGAACTATGTCTAATATGGCAACCATGTTAATTTACTACTTCTGAAAGGGGCCCCGAGTGGCTGAGTGGTCTAAACTCTGTCCATGACGGATCACTGCCATCTCACCTCTGCATGGGTTCGAGTCTAGGATTCGGCGAATGTGGATATGTGAGAAAGCTGGCCAGTAGCTTCTCGTGGGTCGGTGGTTCTTTCCGGTGATTTCCTGGTTTCTTCTTCCACCATTAATACTGGCCGCCATGAATAGCCTATCGTGTGCTGAAAAATGGCGTTAAGCCCAACAACAACAACTACTTCTGAATATATGGTCATATAGAATTGTGGTTTCATTAAAAGATTGGTGATGTCTAGTGGGTCCTGATTGAAATAGTACGCCTCAGGATGGTGCATATTGGAAAATTTTAAATTTAAATTTTTAACAGGATTTTTGAACATGCTTGGTCATAATCAGACAG